TGTATAGTGTCGTATAGTCTTGTATAGCCTTATATAGTGTTGTATAGTCTTGTATAGCCTTATATAGTGTTGTATGATGGTCTTGTATAACATATTGGTCAGTGTTGTATAGCCTTGTATAGTGTCATAAGATCATTAATAAGTTCACCTGCTTACAAGATATGTAGCTTTTGACAGTTTTTTGTAAAAGAACATTATACAGACAGACAGGATATATAATAGTGTTATGCGCTTCCATTATTAATGGTGTTATGGTATACAGGGTGTCCCAAAAAAAAGTGACACTATAGAAATTATCTCATTGTTCTTAAGCCGCTCTTAAACGTTTTCGCTTTGTCCAAATATTTTAACGCCCTAGTCAAGCAAAACGATTACACTAATAAACGGTTTGCTTTTTTATTTTAAATTCCAGAAGAAGAAGTTTATGCACCTGTGGGATCAACTTAGTGCTAGGGCATTCAAATTATAACAATAGGATAATTTCTATAGTGTCACTTTTTTTTGGGACACCCTGTATACAGGGTGTCCCAAAAACGAATGAAATAAATGTATTGTTAGAATTTGAATGCCTCAGCACTCTGCTGAACCCACACGTGCATCAAAGCTTGACATAAGTAAATTGTATGCATAAAGAAACCGTTTAGGAAACTGCTTTAAATTCCCAAGAGCAGAAAATCGTGCGCTTTACAAAGATATTTTAATTTCTCAATATTTAACATTTGCACCCTGTCAATATTTTACGCATATTTGCGTTCAGCTTAGTGCTAGGGCATTCAAATTTTAACAATACGTTATTTCAATGGTTTTCGTTTTTTTTGGGACACCCTGTATAATAGTGTTGTTATGGTATACATAATAATGTTATATCTCCGTCGCTAATAGTATTAACAGTCCTTGGCTCTTGTGCATTATATTTATCCATTATTTATAGTGTTATTAACTGTGAGTCATTCCAGGTTATTACTCTAGAAGTGACCGCACTTGACTTTGTGTCTAAGAATATTAGTGACATTAGCCTTAGTGACAATCGCACAATTGCTAAATGTGTGGAGGTAGCCCTGCGGGTCACATTATACATATATTGTCGAAGAAATAAGCCGTGGAATGACCCATAATTTCTTAATTTTTATTAGCTACTATTGTTTGGAGTGCTCAGAAAATGACCTGTTTCATTACAGAGAACTGTTTTCTTAATTTTAGATAATTAGAATATTGTTGTAACATATATACACGCGATTCTTACAATAAAATACGATTTTCATTGTTTAAAAATTATAATAGTGTTATGTTTCCATTATAGTGTTATTTAGTTTTGAATTATCCACGGATAATTATAAACAGATTTTGAACAACCTAACCCAAAGTTTTGGCCGCGAGGCATCACTTTCCTTGCGTTAGTAAATTCTAGTATAAAGATATAACGTAATAAATTAATAACACAGGGTAAGATTGGGCCGCTGTGTTTAGCCGTGGAAGCAAAATGCCCTGGGGACAAGGTTGGCACGAACGTTTGAATGATTTTTGTAGCCCGTTCGCGGGCTAGCCACAATGTAAAGCTAAACGAAGGATGTCGAGATGTGACGGAAATTGTCGTCAACTTCGGAAACTGTCGTTCATGACATGACGTACCTGCGATCAGGCCTACAAATAAATAAACATCGATCATTTCCGGATTCATTTTGCTTTGGAAATTTGCAAGGATGTAAATACTCGTTACAATTGTAACACGCTACTGTGTACTCGTTACATTTGAAGTAATTTTAACCTGTAACTAATTGCGTTTTTAGAAATGTAACGAAAAACGTAATTAATTACAAAAGCAAGGAACGTGTTCCTTTTCCAAGGAGCAAATTGAATATCCCTTTTCTTATTTTGTTAAAAATACAACGTTACGACAAAAATTCAGAAAAATGGCTGAAATCATTTTCAACGAGATCACATGACATGTAGCCTACATGAAGCAGTGCTTCCATTTTGAAAATAAATATTCCCCATTTTTGACATCAAAATTTCTCTAAATTCCTTAGATTGTACACATAATTTCCTTGAAATTTCCTTGAAATTTCATTAATTTGCTTGAAATTTCATTAAACAGTTTGCAGTGATTTTGTCCCAATACAAAGGATATAGTTAATTTTAAATGGACAAAATAGCACAATTAACACAGATGTGGGTAGGTGAGAAACACAGGCTATTATACTGTTTAAAATTAAATATTTGTTATGATTTTACAACATATAGGCCTACGATTCCACTGATATAATTAATTAACTATTCACAGTGTTTTGCGCCAAAAGTTACTAAATCCCATCGGTCAAAAAATATTCTCGGCATATTTCAAGTTGGTTTTTAGCAAACCATATGTTTGTTTCATTAATATATGGCATTCCTTTTATATGTACTTTATAGTAAGATTTTTATATTAATTAGAAGGTTGTTTATATTAATTGGAAGGTTGACAGAACATTAATTAATCATGATTGAATATTTCAAAGTATATACAATTACAGTAATATGGGTATAAGGGTATTATCATTGCAAGTCATTGTAGTAGCAGACTTGTATGTACATTCTTTTCATGCATGTTAGCTATATATTAAAGGGAATTAAAACAGAATGCTACAATGTTGTTATTTTATGTGATAACGATAAGTACGCTGTTTATCCTTGAGAGTAAGACAAGCTTACTACTTGCTAACTCTCCATTCGATTTGAAAGTACCGGTGCAGATGCATTGAAGCCATGAACTGTATAGAGTCTATGAAGACCAGATTCTTACCCAGTGAGAATGAGATGTATTTTTCCATATTATTTGGGATCACATTGACGTCCATCTTGAACTTACCAATTTCCTGCATAATCAGATGACTATCGTAACCTCTCAGGTTGTGGAAGACCACAGGTACTTTCCATGTAATTCTATACTTAAGATTACATATATTATGAGCAGCTCCGCGGTACTTACCTGTTACATGGTCATGGTCTCTCACACGGTCCTCACATAGATCGTTACCACAAATTTGGCAGTTTTTTGTAACCAGGAATTCTGCTTCCTCTTCGGGTGTAATTACCATTTTCTTCCTGAATATTTTGTCAGTCATTTCCCTACATCTGAAGGACTCTTTTACTACCGTCTTCAGGAAGACCAATGCAGCGTCACTTCCAACGTAACTCTTATACTCACCGGAGTATTTATCATCATAGTGGCAGACTGTTTTCAAACCAAAACTACAAGCCTTGTGTGTCTGGTAAAGGTCCGTACTACTTTCATCCTCAGGGTTCCCTGACTTCTCTTTTCTCTTCTCAGGCACCAGTATGGACTCAAAATCAGCGTATATCACAAACGGCACAGGCATTAAGTTCCTATGATTTTTGAACTTTATTTTTGTCCCTTCCTCGGGAAGTATTACGGCCTGAGTTCCATTTACCTCCAGACATGTTTCCTTATCCTTCTCCAGTACCTCCTCGCTAACACAACTATGAAGACAGTGTAAGCAGAAGTGTTGCTTGTGTCGATGTTTACTCACACTACACAGCATTCTGTTTACATCCTTTATAAGCACGTAATGTCTACTACCTTCACCATCACCCAGGAGTAGAAGCTCCATATGCTCATCATATGTAGCCTTTGAGATCCTTATGGGGTAGAACTGCTTTTTACCCTTATAACCGAACACTGAGATGTTGACACTATTTTTCCTCTCAATCTTATCAATATCGCTTATCTTCACAGGGAAGTCAATACCTTCATAATCCAGGTTTATTTTGAATTCCCTGTCCTTTTTTGTAATAGTGGTTGCCCTCCTAGCCCTAGGATTTAGATGTCTCACATGACACCACATAAAGCACATGTCGTCATCATTCTTCATATTAATGAGTCCACACATTGAATTACTAATGAACTCCCAGCTAGTGGTTTGTACATTGCAATATTCACATAATGACTCTCAATATTGAGTATAATCCAATTTGAACCTAGGTTTTGGAAGGTTTCAATTCTAGACAATATTGTCAGTTGGTTTTGAGCAGCTGTACTTTCAATGTCCTCGAAGTTAGTTGCAGTACCAGTCTTAGATTTGAAGTAGACTGAGTCCTTCTTGGTTTTTCCATCACCAATTTCCTTTGACATTCTCACCTTCAGAGTCTCTGTGTACTTCAACCCACCCATTCTCTTCAACTCGTTCAC